AGGCAAGATATATTCGTTGTTGTGCCCATAATTAAAACACAAAAAAATCGAGCATTTCTTCTAAAAATTACTAATATCGATAGTAAGCTTTTGCAGAAGAATAGGTGCGTAAGCGATATAGCCTCTTGAAGCTTGAGTCGTCAAAGCTCGTGTAAGCCGTTGATTAGTAGTCGATAACTTGTCAGGCAACGATGATAATGATAGTTCAGGCATAGGGTTGCTATGTGTGAGGTTCTGCGGGCGTGAAATACTCATTGTTGTCGAGCACAATCGCGGAATGTCCGACAAAGTCAACCAGCGATATTCCGCGAATACGATAGATCTTTGTCCGCAGATAAAATCTCTCGGCAATTGGCATACCAAGTATGCTATGGACATTGCCGTGATCGAGGACACGAACCACGGCCTCTTTACGTCGTCGATGTCGTGAATCCAATCAGTTTTCAATTAATAAAACTAGAAACTAGAGACAGAGGCGGCGTGTAAGCTGCTGTGTCGCGAATGTAAACGAAATACGTATGGGGCTCCGTTAATGTGTGGCAGCCCGTTCGCATGTCGATAAGGATACACTTATACTGTGCCATATAGTTTTCAATAAAGGTATTATCGCGTGTGTCGATATGCGCAATAAACGCGTGTGTCGTTATTTCTCATTAATCGAATTTGTCTGGAATAATCGCGTGAGTGAAAGTGTCAGGCACTCGGCGTGATGATTCCTCAGCGTAGCTTGCAGGGTTTTATGGTATATATAGTAATATTATAATATATATATATATTATATATATATTATTACAAGTATACTGTTGAATATGACAAGCTTGCATGGGACATACTATAGTAGCTGGCGTTACTGCATGGCGATGAATTTAAAAAAGAAAGCGTGCCTGCACAAAATGTCGTTTACACATCGATGTAAAATTCTATAAATCAAGATAAGGCAGTTGCGGGAACTTCGACTAAGATCACGGTAATTGACACCGGTAAACGCAGAAGAAAACAGAAAAAAAGAGGCAGATAGCCATGAAAGAAAGTCAGAGGGGCTGTCTGCTGATCGCATTCTGTTTTATTGGTTCCGCAACGCGCAATCACTACAAACCTCTCGCCTTCTTCTGCACGCCACACGAATCTTGCGTGCTTACTACTTAACTGCCGCTATCGGCCGTACGGCTGTTCTAGAGAATTCGGCGAGTGAGAACGTTGTGCGCGCTCAGCGGAGACTTGAGTGTCCGCTGCGCCATGTACCGCGTCTCGCCGCGCCCACCCGCCTGCTCTCGCGCGCCCATTAACTGCACACGGCCGCCCGCCGCGCCTTCCGCCTCGCCTGCCTGCCCGCCGCCCAGCTGCCACACTAAACCCGCAAACCCTCGCTCGGTCCGGCCCGCCTGCCCGCCTTAAACGGCTCCCTCGCCGCCTAATCCATCCCGTTCACCGCTCTCCGCCCGCCCGCCTTACCCGCCCGCCCGCCCTGCCCCGCCTACCTGCCCGCCCGCCCCACTGCCCGCTAAACGCCCACGATCGCCCGCTAACGCCGCCCGCGCCCTACCTGCCCGCCCGCCCGCCTGCCCGCCTCCCACCGCCGCGCTGCCTAACGCCCCGCCTTCCAGGCTGCCCGCGCCGCCCTACCTGCCCGCCCCCCGCCTGCCGCCTTACCTGCCCGCCCCGCCTCCTTCTCGACTGCCGCCCGCCTTACTGCCGCGACCCCCCGCCTGCTCGCTTTCGCCCACCCCGCCCGCCATTACCTGCCCGCCCGCCCGCCTCCCGCCTTCCGCCGCACCGCCCGCCTAAACCGCCGCGCAGAGCCGCTCTCGATGCCCGCCGCCTTACCTGCCCGCTGACCCCACTCTCGCTCCGCCCACGCCCGCCCGCTAATCGCGCGCCGCTCCATGCGCCGCGCGCCGTACCTGCCCCGCCCGCCGCTGCCCGCCTACCTGCCCGCACCCCGCCTGCCCAGCCCTTCGCCCACCCCCGCCTCTACCGCCCGCCCGGCCACTCACCTGCCGCGCCCGCTTACCCTGCCCGCCCGCACCGCGCCCGCCTTACCTGCCCACCGCCTGCCGCCTTACGTCCACCTGACCCGCCTAACGCTAAACGGCCCGCCCGCCTGCCTCGCTCTTCGCCCACCCTCCCGCTATCCCGCCCGCCACCCGCTCTGCCCGCCTTCCGCCTGCCCCGCCGAGACAGTATAGAGCAAAGCTTTACAGACGGAGCAGTATTGCTCTTGCTAACTTCGTCAATAAGGCCTAAGCGCCAGAACTGTGCGACTCTTTTCATGCGACTCGCGCGATTCTAGAATCCGCAGCCAAGTCCGCGACTGAGCACTCGCTTATAGGTCTGTGGGGAACGTTCAACGCATTCTCCGTCGCATTGCGACCGAGCTCCGCAAGAAATAACATGTTTGATTTTCAGCAACTCGGTCCGCTCCGAAATCGCTTCGAATCGCACGTGTGCGGGAAACAGCGACATCTGCAACGATGATAATTCTCGTCGACTCCAATCAGTACACATCTCTCATCAACGTGCTATTTCACCATAGTGGCTACGCTCACATCAACCACTGGAGTGATGAAAAGAAAGGCATTCTGCTAGATAATGTTAGATGAGAGGCGTTTTTTTTGATGTACACTGCCGAAATCAGTCGATCGCACTAAGAAACATGCGCATATAAAGAACTGTCGATCGATCCGGACTGAAATACGGTAAATACTGCGCCAGAAAAGTTCATTTCTATTTATTTAGCCAGTCGCTTGCACTTGCACACGCTGCGGCGAGCCGTGCGATCACCGACGCATGCGATTGCAGGTCGGCACAAACGCGCGACCAAAACGCAAGTCTGCGCCTAGCTTATAAGGAGACGCGGGCTATTCGGGAGGAAGCGCTCATATCATCACGCATTCTATTCGTGGATTATAACGTCTTCATCTACACTGCACTCTATGTACGGCCCACCAAGAGATGGGAAAGCAGACCACACTGTGGGCACCCGACATGACATGGCACATATAATATATATATATAAGCATAGCTGTGCGGTACGCGCGCGACTGTAAAACGTGCTACATAATTCCATAACTACAAAAATTTGACACAATAGAACATTGGTAAAAATCGACATAAACATGCAGCAGCAAATCAAATATTACAAATCAGGCCTAAAAGATAAAAGCATGGGGAAAACTGTTACGTATGACATTTATATTGACAGGCCAGAACCAACTTAGAACCGCCTGCAACATACGTAGTAATATGTGCAAAATGAGAAAAAGTCTTATAACAAGCATGTACAATGGGTTGGCCAGTTTTCATTTGAAAACCTCTTGATAAACAATGTTTCGTGTATGTGTGTGGAGAAATAGTAGAGATTGTCCTCGCTCGAA